GCAGCTCAATTCATGTTGTAGCAGGACTTTTGATTTATACTATCTTCAATGCAACTCGACTGAACTGTGATGCACTCCCATTTGTTAACACGGCCAACAAAAGGAGCTTAAAAAGGAGGGTTGTTTGTGCTCTTTTAAGACAGATGTAGCTAATTAAAACTAATGATGTAACAGAATAAGGAAATCACCCTAAAACTGGAGGGTTTGTGGGTATACAATAACAGATGTTGAAATCGGAAAGCCAGCAATTTCTCCTGCCTCGAGAGCTGAGCGCAATAAAATGAACAATGCACATTCAGCTGCTTCTCTGGCTTTTCTTCCCATTTTGCTAGAGACACCTCACAAAATGTGTAATTTATGATTTCTCAAAACGAATCAACAGTAGTCCTTTTGACACAAAAAATGTATATGAAGTACATGTTACGCATATTATGCAGTGAAACTATATTCTCAGTTAACACTGATGGAAGTGACTAACATCATCTTCTAGGTTTTCTGTGTGTGTGTGTGTGTCTACCTTGGTTCAGTTAAAACTGTCTGAACACCGCCGCCACCTGGTCAAAATGGTGTACGACAGTTTAATTACTTAATCTTCATAACTTAATGCCAGTTTGACCTATGTTGACTGTTAGGGGATATGGGGTGTGTGTGAGGCGACCAAAAACAGAGTGTGCATGCAACATAAACGTAGTTTATGGTATATCCATGTATGTATAAAACAAATTTAATATCTTTAATGCATAATAAGAAATAACATAAGAAATAAAAGAAGAAAAATGCAGTTGAGTGCAGCCATCTTTAATAGAATCAGTGCATAAATATGCAACAAGAGCAAGCAAAGAGGTCTGGAAACAGCTGTGTTGTTGCACTTGCTAAGCACAGAACAGACCTCGGGAGCAGATGATTCTGCTGACGTCTTCATCCAATGACTCATACAAGTGCAAATACACACAGCAGCCCTAAACATACTCCCTTTGAGACTTAAACCCACCTGTCCCCCACTGCACGAGCCAGAGAAGTGTGTGTGTGTGTGTGTGTGTGTGTGTGTGTGTGTGTTGGTATTTGCATGGATGCAACATAACAGGGAAAATAACAATTGAGCAAAATATTAAATGTAGTTTAGTACACATTTTTGCATAACAGCAAAGCGTGCAGAATATAAGCATAAAAAAGTTTTGTATCATTTCTATCATAGATCTATTGGATGGATCAGAAAATCCATTTTCATTTGAGCTGCAAGTCTTGCGGGCTTGAATCCTGATCAGGTTCACACTTTTGGAAATCAAACTCAATTCCAAGTCCTAAATCCACTTTTACTAAATCACACGAGGCTCGCTGAAGAAGTGCCGAATACACTGATAGCGTTTTGTGTTTAAACCAAATTCAACCTAAACTTGAACGTTTTTACGCCTACATTGGAAAAGTTTCATGATTGTAAAATATTTTACACAGCTACATAGGACAAAATGTGTTGTAAGCATGTGGGATGCATGTTAAATGCAGAGCACATCAAATGCTGAATGTGAAATCTTTCATATTCTCATTTTATTTTTGTGGCATCGATCAGTTAAAAAACAAATGATCTGACAGGACTGTCTCAGCCGCTGTGCTGAATCGCCTCCTCAGTTAAAAACAAGAGGTTTCAATTGCATGAATGGCAGCATATTCCTCAAAATCCTGAACATATTATTTGCCATTAACGGTGCCTTCACAGATGTCATATGAGTCAATCTGAGGTCTTTGTAATCAGCCCTGAAGAAAATCTATCTTCCTACATTCACTGGAAACCTGAGTGTGATCCTTACACATTAACAAAATACTTTCAAATTACCAAGAGGACCTTTAAAAAGTCACCCATGCTTTCACCCCATCATATTTGCATTACTGTAATTCCCTCTACTCCTACAGGTCTCAGCCAAAGTCCATCTCCCTCCTTTGCGTAAAGATCCCAACTGCTCAGTATTAGCGTTCGGCCTTGTCTCGTACTTGTAGCAGTTTTCCTGGACTGTCTAAATTCACACTTTTCTGGGAATTTTCC